GGGCATTCTTGAGTAAGGGTGGGACTTGAGTCATACCCTCCTGCAAAGCTGTGACTCAGGATACACCCCACACTAATCCCACCTCATTAACGTATAGAGGTTAGGATTTACAACATAAAATGGAGGATAATTAGGATAATCACATCAGATCACAAAATGGAGGACAACCATACAATATTGGGAATCATGGCCTAGCCAAGTTGACACGTGACCCTAACCATCACAGGTTCCGTATACCTTATTTGCATAGTCCCACTTAATCACTGTGTGAATCACAAAGACCGTGGCTAGAAGGGCCATATTAAGTAATTCGTTGCACTGCAGTTATATATATTATTGTCTGCTATAAACTAGTACAAGAGTACTAACTCTCAAAGATTTTCTTTTATATACCCTATAGAGTTTAGCCTAGTGCTACACATACAGAGTTCAGCACAATGCTGAATCTATTTAAATTGAAAGACTAATAAAGTAAAACAGTAAAATAAAGAACCACACTGAATATAAGTTTTTCCTAATTTCTTTCAGTGTGATACGATCCCTTTCCCTCTTATAATGTCGTAGTTGTTTATATCACTGATTTATTTCTTCCCCACTCCCTGAGTGCAGACAGTTTTTCTCTCTCACTCCTATACTCTGTCCAGGGCTTAGCATAGTGTTTTGTAGGAATGGCAAACCTTTCAAAGCATTTTTAAGCATGTGCTACCGACTGTGCGGAGCCCTAGCGGCACAATGATTAAGCCATAGGCTGCCAGCTGAAAGGTTGGCAGTTCAAACCCACCAGTGGCTCCAGGGGAGAAAGACCTGGTGATCTGCTCCCTTAAAGACAGCCTAGGAAACCGTATGGGGCAGTCTACTCTGTCACATGGGGTCATTATGAGTCAAAATCAACAGTAGCAACAACTCACTGTGCTAAGTGCTTCATGTGAATTATTTTGCTTATGCTTGCAAAAGCTTGATGTTGTGAAGTGCTGTTGTAATTCTCATTGATAAGTGTAATCTGTGGATGATGAAACCAAGGCCCAAAGGAATTAAGGGGCTCGCCCAAGGCCACAGGACTGGTAGGTGGCAGAACCAGGTTTAGAAGCGAGGTCTCTTGATTTCAGTCTGCAGTCTTTATCATTAGCTGTACTTTATCATTACCTCTTGATGAGGAGACTACATCAGAAGGCGCTTGTTGTATATTGGTTGAATTTGGTTGTACTGAAAGGTTTCAGTCAGAAGTTAAGTTTATTTATTGGCAGTATTTTTTGACAGTGAAGTTTTGAATCCTGAAAAGACTTGAATATTTCTAGAAAAGAAATACTCTTAATACCAGAGTCCTCAGGAGTATGACCACTTGTTGATGAAGATTTTCTGTTCCTATCTTTGACCTCTACTAAGATGGAAGGATGACCAAATTAATTAGCCAGAGGGCTACTGGTGGCTGTGGAGACGAGGCAGGAGCAACAATAGTTGAAGTACCAGGGAATGAGGACCTGCAGAAGAAAATGCAAATTGAAGAAAGAAATGAGTAAAACAGTCATTGTTTTAGTTGTATCCCTTTTAAACTCACAGAAATTCATTATGTGTGGCCATCTAGCTTGGTTTATTCATTTTGGGATCAAGAGGATGTCAGAATTATGATATTGGCTTTACAGAGCTGACTGTAGTTTTAGTTGTTTGTTAGTTTTGCCTGTGTGACTTCAGGAACCCAACCCTTGAGAGCTGATGAGTTGAGCTTCTCTGTCAGATTCTAAAGCCATTGTCTTTTTTAAATGTGTTTCTACTTTATTTCTTATTTTCGCTAACCAACTATGATTCTTGATTTTGTCCCTGTGTGTGAAAGATGACAATAACACAGACTAAACCTATTTGGGTAGAAGTTGAATTCTAGCACTTAATAGAAAAATACTGATAAAAAGGAAAATAAAAATTCCTTGGAATCTCATAAATTTATCTTTTCCCAAAAGTGATTGATAAATAGGAAGATTCTTGTTTGTTGTTGTTGAGAATATACACAGCAAAACATATACCAGTTCAACAATTTCTGTATGTACAGTCCAGTGACATTGATTACATTCTTGGAGTTGTGTAACCATTCTCACCCTCCTTTTCTGAGTTGTTCCTCCCTCATTAATATAAACTCACTGCCCCCTAAGGTTCCCATCTGATCTTGTGAGTTGCTGTTGTTTGATCCCATATATAGTTCTTAAAGCATAATGCGAAGGCAGACATTTTTTACTAGTTAAGCTAAACTGTTGTTTGGTTTTAAGAAGACTTCAGGGGTTATTTTTGGTTTAAGCTTGAAAGATTACGTCAGGGCAATAGTTTCAGGGGTTCATCCAGCACCCATGGCTCCAGAAAGTCTGTAGAGTCCATGAGAATTTGAAATTCTATTTTGCAGTTAAATGTTGGGAAGATTCGTGTTCCTCTAGAGTTTCCATTTCAAATTCAAAGCATTATTTACATGAATCTTAGAGGGTTTTCAGGAATAAGTCCCTTGAATTTCAGGGACCTTTGTTAAGGTTAAAAAAAGATTAATCTTTCTTTTTCAAAAACCTCAACAGGCCATGAAAATGAAGTGATTTTACGTTCTCAATTTTGAGGTACAAGAATAAATCTTGGAGTCACTGAATTCTTGTTTAGATGGAAATGTGTAAAATTCTAGGTTGTACATATTTTGGCTTATTGGAAGTTTTCAGTATTATTATTTATATATTATTTGTATTTTTAATGAGAGTGAAGAGATGCATTTAATGACCTGCCAGTAGCATTGCCATCCCCTAATATTTATTCCCAAGTTTAAATCATATGTAATCTCATAAATTCACAGCTCTGAGACACTTATTTTTCACCATCTTTTAAGATTAAAGGAGCTATGGATGTTTGGCCCAGAAAAGCAACAAATTAGGAGGAACATGGGTGTTGTCTTAAAACAACTGAGGCGTTATCATCTTGCACAAAGGATTTGGCTCCTTTTGTGCAGACCTACTGGATTGAACCCATTTGTGGAATTTATAGGGAGACAGATTTCAACTCATTTTAAGGAAGAATTATCCTAACAGTCTTATCTGCTCAAAGAGGGAGTTGGCTGCCTGGGGAAGGATTGCAGTAGTCCATCTTGAACCTTTTAAATATGGGCTAGATGACCATTTCCTGGATGTGTATGGGAATAGGGAAGAGGAGAAGAAACCAGATGGCTAATGTAGGGTGAGAAAGGAGAGCTACAGTTAATAGAGAATAAGAAAGGGGAAGCGAGCATCCAGTATGTCATTCCCATCCCTACATAGTTCACATTTTCTCTGCTAGGGACATTTAGGAAAATGTTGGCTCTTATTTCATAAGAGATCATTCCGCAGAACTTGAGGAATTTTTGGCATGGTTATAGAGACTGAACGGTTGTGTTTCTGTGATGGGCCTCTGGCTGGAGACACTGAGTGATGCTAAATTGGAAGTTTCCAGGTTGTGGGCTTTAGGAGGGAGTAGCAGCTCCTGTCAGTTGATTTAGTTTTCTTTCTAGTAGCTTTCAAAATTGTCTTCTTGTTTTTACATTTAACTAAACCTCAGCAACAGTAGGATTTAGGCTGAGACTCTTCTCTTTGTCTGAATATTTGTATTTATTTCCTGAGCTTCCATTTCTGTATTAAATAAAAATGTTACATGAACACTCAGCACCGGAATTTGGTGTAGAAAGAAAGCTGAAATTGATGTGTCCTTGTTTTCAACCAAGATTTAGTGGTTTCCAGGGAGGGGTATGGTGAAGTATGGCTAAGAGTATGAATTTTCATGTTAGGCTTGGATTTGAGTCTCTGTTCTACCGTTAACCACTGTATCACCTTGGACAAGTGACCTAATTTCTCTAGGCCTCAACTTCTTCATTTGTAAAAAGATAACATCTCTCACAGGGCCAATATAGGTGTAAATGAAATAATATACATAAAGTATTTAGCTCATGGTAAGAGCTCAATGTTAGCTATTTTTGTAGTAGCAATGAAGACTTACTATTGTTATTATTAGGGATAATCTAGGAATAGGCAATGGGTTCGTGTGCTAACAGTGCAAAATATGTGCTTCCTTGTTAGGATGTAGTGTTGTGAATAACACATAACATGTCTGAGTAGAGGGTTAATTTCACAGGTCTTCAAAAGGAAAAAAAAAAAAAAACCCAGCTAAGAAAAGCAGAAATAAGTTCAGTTTATAAGGAGTAATATATGCTTTTCTTCTTTCTCCTTTCCTCTGAAGAGAGGTTCAGGTGGAAGTATATAGATTTGGAATTTGGGAATCTTCTGCATCAAGATATGCAGGTCATTGTGGGAGTGGCAAAGAGAAGGATTGTAGAATGTTAAGATGCACAGACGTGGAGTTTTCAGGGAGAAAGGTAAAGTGACGAAGGAGGAGTTGGTATAGTGGAAAGAACGTTGAATTGGAAGTTGAGAGATCTGGGCTCGTTTAGTCTCACTTTCTCCTTTCATAATGTGTGTGCCTCAAGGCATATCTCTTACCTGCCGTACAGACTGGACTTGATCTCTAAGGCTCCGTGAGCACCTGAGTTTCTCTATTCTGAATCTACTTGGAAGTAAGAGCAAGTGCAGTGCCCCTGAGACAGGAATTTCAAGAAGGAACAGTATCAGATATTACAGAAATAAAGGAGAATGAGAGCTGGGAAAAGGATGGGGTGCCCAGGAAGCCAATTTTTTCTAGATTAGAGGGACAGAGAAATACCTGCAATGTGAAATTTGCTGCGGAACACCATGTAATGAGAATTATTCCAGGTCGTCTCTTACTGACTTTGGTTAATACAGATGTTTATAAAGCTACCTGTTGTACTATAAAAATATAATTGTGTGCTTTTACCAATGACCTATAAATTAAACTATTTGAGAATTTCTTCCCTTCCTGTTTGGGAGAGAATTTTGAGGTGATCTGTTGCTGAGTGACACAGAACTAAATTTTCTTGTTTCTTTTCAGAATTTTAATTGCAGTTCTCACTTGAAGTTTTTTTCTTTTCTTTTCTGTAGACCAGTTGTTCCATTATGGATGGAGGGGATGATGGTAACCTTGTTATCAAAAAGAAGTTTGTGTCTGAGGCAGAACTAGATGAACGGCGTAAAAGGAGGCAAGAAGAATGGGAGAAAGTTCGAAAACCTGAGGATCCAAAAGGTATATAGGCTTAGAGTTTGGCATTTAACATAATGATTGTTAATCTTCACAGCAATCCTGCAAAGTAGGAGTGAACATCCTCACTTTCGAGTTGAGGAACTCAGACTGAGAGGGGTAAAGTAATCTATATAAGGCCTCCGTAGCTGGGAGCAGAACCAGGATAGTCTCACCCTTGCCTTTTCTGTTCTACCACACTGCTCCCAGGAGTTTCTGCTAGGCTAGTCCATCTACACATGTGTAAGTTATGTGGATTGTCAGTGTGAGATCCAGTGTCTGAACAACTGAGAATGCTTATGGAGAGGTTTGGCTGGCCCTTCATCCAATTACCTCCTCAGGCAATGGGCCCTACTGACACACTGATAGTTGACTTTGAGAACTGCTGGCCTCTCTCGGACGTCCAAAGGAAAGCGGTGGACTTTGTACTATTTTTGCGTTATCCTTGCTCACAAATCATGCAGAGAAGACTTGACTTTGTCTTTAGAACCCTTTGTAATTCCAAAATAGTATGAAAATTCTAAAGTATGTATCTTTTTTTTTCTCCCTGTCTCTCTTTCTCTCTCCCTTCTTCCTTTCAGAATGTCCAGAGGAGGTTTATGACCCTCGGTCTCTATATGAAAGGCTACAGGAACAGAAAGACAGGAAGCAGCAGGAGTATGAAGAGCAGTTCAAATTCAGTAAGCCTCAGAAAATAGAGTCCGAGGGACTCTACAGGACCTTTTTGGTGCACTTTTGCCTCATGCAACCCTTTTTCTAACTAGCTATGGAATTGTCTTGATTATCTAGTCCCCAGATGCTCATTTGGCAAAAAAGAGACAGCCTTCTGCCTTCTAGACCACATTGAACATTTTTGCTTAAAGCTCAAGATACCCATTTTAATTCTATTCTAATATCTAGTAATGGGAAGAAATGCCTCGATTTTATGCTGTGTTATATATCCAAAAGGCATGGTATTTACCACTTCTTTCTTCTAATCCCCTGAAGGATCTGCTGTTTATTAAACACAGGAAAGGAAAAAATCTTATTTGATTATATTTTCTCTTTAGTCTGCTACGTGTTCTTTGCTTAATTATTTCCTCAGAAAACATGGTAAGAGGCTTAGATGAAGATGAAACCAACTTCCTTGATGAGGTTTCTCGGCAGCAGGAGCTAATAGAAAAGCAACGAAGAGAAGAAGAACTGAAAGAACTGAAGGAATACAGAATATCCTTTGTAGTTTGGGAGAAATTTGTGAAGTGTCAGTTTTCTCACTGTCTGTGGATTTTAATTTTCTCATAAGTAAAATGAGGGTCTTCTCCCTGGTGATCTGTAAGTTCCCTTTCAGCATTAATATTCCTGCGACTCTGAATAACTGCAGTGATTTCTGAAAGTTATGTTTCATGCAACAGACTGTTGCAATCAGAAGTCCAGATCCTTTAGGATTAACTAAAGGTATAAATCCTAATAATGGGTACCAAAATATTCTTACCTTGTAGAATTAGACTTTGAGACAGATGGGTGATGAAATAAACCTCATCCAGGGGAGAAATTGGCTTCTGAGCTTTAAAAGGAAATGTTTAGCAACTTTTTTGCATCTTTAGTGACCTTCCCTCCAGGTACAGGGTGGTCTGTCCCCATAGGAGGTGCAGAGAAAGCAACAAAAATGACTTTACTTTGACTCAAGATTGCCTTTTTGGCATCCACTTGAATGTCTAATAGGCATTCCAAATGTAACTTGGCTGAATCAGAATTCTCAATTCCATGCCAGACCACCCCCACCCTTATCACTCTGCTCTCCCCCAAAATCTTTCTTGTTTTCTCAATCACAGAACCTGCTACTGCTGTACCCCCAGGTGCCGAGTCCAGAAACCTAGGATTCATCCTCAATTCCTCTTTACCCCACCCCCCAAAACCCCATATCCAGTCCATCATCAAGTTCTTTTAACTCAACCTCTAAAATGTACTCCAAATCTATCCGCTTCTCACTGTCTCTACTGGTGGTAGTCCTAGCCACCATCGCCTCTCCTCTGGACTGCTGTGACCATCTAATTGGTCTCCGCTTCTGCTCTCATCCCTGACAATCCATTTTCCAGACAGCACTCAAAGGGAACTTTTAAAAACATACACAAGATCATGTCACTTTCCTATTTGAAATACTCTAATGGCTTCACATTGCATTTATACCAAAGTCTACATTCTTTAGTAGGTTGTACAAGGCTATGCGTGTTTTAGGCCAGCCTACCTCCTGTTGCATCTTGTAGTTCTTCCCCGTGTTCACTGTACTCCAGGCTGCTTGCCTTCTTTCTGTTCCTCTTTCACACCAAGCTTGTAAATCCATCTCAACACCTTGGTATTTGCTGTGTCTTTGGCCTAGAATGCTCTGCCCTCAGATCTTATGAGGCTGACATTTCATAGCACTCAGGTCTCAGCTCAAATCTCCCTTCCTCATAAAGGCCTTCCTCAAGCACCCCATCTAAAATTGCACCCATCCTCATTGCTGTCTATAATATCATTTTTTAAAAAATACCACTTACCACTACCTGAAAATCTTCATTATTTGTTTACTGGTTTATCTCTTTACTGCTGGAATGTAAAGTAAGTTCCATAAGAACAGGAAGTTTATCTGACTTGATCACCACTCATTTCCCCAGACCCTAGCATATAGTGAGGAAGTCTGGTGGTGCAGTGGTTAAGAGCTCAGCTGCTAATCAAAAGGTTGGCAGTTTGAACCCATCAGCTGCTTTGTGGGAGAAAGATACGGCAGTCTGCTTCTGTGAAGATTTACAGCCTTGGAAGCCCTATGGGGCAGTTCTCCTCTGTCCTACAGAGTCACTATGAGTTAGAATCAACTTGATGGCAGTGGGCTTGGGTTTGGTTTGCGTATAGTAAGTTCTCCGTGAATATGTGACTAAATGAATGAATGAATTACTCGTCGGAGAGGTTAATAGAGCCACTCTGTTTTCCTCCCAGAAGAAAGCTTATTTGGTTTTTTCAAGCTTATATGTTTCACTAGGGTGATTGAGCAGGTTTCACCTCTAAGTTTGATGATGTGACTGTGGTATATGCTAGCTGGTATTTTCTTGCAGAGTCAAATAGGTTCCATTAAAGAGTATGGAGAAAATGCGGAGAGATGCCCAGGATTTGGTTTAGATGAAGGTGACAGTGACTGAAATAAGATGGCAGCATGGTGCCACAAAACCTCCTTTGAACTGGTAGCTAAAGACTGGCTTCTGGTTCCAGTTCTGCCAGTGGCATTCTAGTGCAGCATTGAGATAGGAGTTGATGAAAAGTTACATCGCCTCTATGAATCTTGGTTTCCTTGTCTAAACCATGGGATTGAGATTGATTTTTCTGAACCCCCCACCTTCTGTCCCAGTGACCCCAGAATAATATTACACATTGATGTTTGTAAAGATAGGCAGATATATGTATTGTGTTGTTACAGGCACCAGACATTTTCCTCTAAGGAAAGAATGAACAGGGCCACACTGAGGCAAAAGAAACTTTTCTGTCATAGTAACGTTTCAGTACAGCATTGAAGAGGCTCCAGGGGTATTGACTTTTATTGGAAACTTGGAAAGTTCTGACTGTCTAGAAAAACTGATGAGAAGCAGGCCTTCTAACCCACTGATGTATAATGCACTAATCCTAAACACTCAAGTAGCCAGAGACATGTTGAGATAGGAATTGAAGGATTAGATATTTGCGTATTGAAGCTGTAAATTAGGAGCTGGTTCTTGGCTTCATTTGATTGTTTTACTAATGTGATACTTCTGAATAGAAATAAGCTGTGGTTTGTGCCATGTAAAAAAACAGAACTCTTTTTGTTTCCTCTTAGGTTAAACCAGCAATTTTAGCAATATTATGGGTGTTAAAAACTGATTTTTTAAAAAAATTGTCTCAGCTAATGAATTCCCTGAAGTTTTTGAGAGGTGTGTGTATTTGAGAGTATTTTGGTAGGGAAGGTGGCTCAAAGGGGAAAAATTG